ATTTGAGAACCAGCTGAAGAAGCTATAGTTGGTGCCCTGGTTCCTTTCCTTGTGAGCCTGGGGTTCCTGGCCCCGGTGCCAGCGGATTGGGGTGGAGTGAGTCACCAGCCGGCCTGGGGAAAAAGGAGGCTGTGGAGAAGGCACTGAGCAAGGGTAGGTGTGGGTCCCATGGATTTGCCCTGGGGACTGTCTCTTACCTGATCGGTTGCACTGGAACTCCTTGACAATCACCATATTTGTGAAATAGGGGTTTGTCTTGAAGTACAGCTTCATTTTGTAGCCCATGGAGACATGTCTGAGGTCCTGTACCTGCTCAGGGTGGGGGTAATGATGGAATCACCACCCCACCATTTCCCCCACCTCACCTTCAAGGACCAGATTCCTTGGCTGGTCTTAGTAAAAACATCTCTTTGGCCTGACCTGCAGGTTGGTCATGTAGCGGAAAATGTCTTCATCGCGTGGACTGATCAAGACTGAAATTTTGGGGTGGTTGAGGAACTGCGGGAGGGTGCGGTTTAGGTTAAGGAGTTACTACTCTTTGAGAGGAGGGAGGGAAGGCCATGCAAGTCAGGTCAGGCAGGGCAAAGCAAAAGAGAAGCTGGAGCAGAATTCCTTCTGTGTGCTTTTGATATGTGTGGAACAAGTGGGTCATGGACATGACCTGTACTTTACTATATTTCCATGATACTATGTGGTGAGAGCTCGTGTTTATGCTTTGTAAAACCTCTATTAGGTGGCCTTGCCATGGTTCTTACTTGTTGTGTCTGGGTGCTGAGGGTCTATGTCCGTGTGATTGTGTCTCTGGATGCTGAGGGCTTGTGTTCACGAAACATTGTGTATCTGGGGGCTGAAGGCCCATGTCCAAGTAATGCTATATCTGGTTGCCGAGGACCTATAATCACGATATTATATATTTAGGTGTTATGGGTCTTTATCCACATGCTATGTATCTAGATCTGAGGGGTTCTGTCCAAATTAAATTGGGTACTGAGGGTCTGTGATCATGGATCCTTTGTATGGGAGTGTCAAGGATCTATATCTATGTAATTCTGTGTTAAATCTATGTGTTCCTAACAAGTTGCATGTCTATATGTGTGTGTCCCAGAGATGGGGTTATCACTAGTGAATGTGATTTTTTTTACTCCCCTTTCCTTCATTTAACTCCTTGATATCTATTCCTAGGTATTCCTTCTCCTGATCCTTTAGGGGCTCCAGTCCCTTTCTAGCCCCCTTTTCTCCAGCCAGGATTAGGGTCTCCATAGCATCTAAGCAGACACCCAGGCTTTAAGAGCCATGTGTGAGTTAGGCACCCATTCTGGGCAATTTCCCCATTATGGAGCCCATTACTATCTCTGAGTCAGTTTATTTTCTGTGTACCCCTCCCTCCTCCTTTCACCATCTATGGTCCAATTTTTCTATGTGCCCCTCTACTACCCACCCCTTTTGTCCCCCCGTGATCCATTTTTTTTTAATTCTTTATAGTATTATATATGTGTGATCCATTTCTTTATGTTATGCTCTTCATCTTCACCCTTCCCCATCTGTGGTTCGGTTTTATGTTGTGTGGCTCCTCCCCCC